GTGTGTGTGTGTGTGTGTGTGTGTGTGTGCGTGTGTATGTGTGGGCGTGTGCGCGCGCGTTTGTGTGTTTGTCTGTCGTCTCGCAGCGTGTATAATACACAGATTTGTCACAGATCAACTCCGCCCCCCACGACAACTATTAACGACGTCGTCGGCAACAGAGAGACAGTCGACGCTGCCACGCCCCGCGAACCGACCGCAGCAGCAGCAGCGCGTCTCCCCCAACTCCCTCCGCGGCGAAATATAACAAAATACGAAATCCTCGCCGCCATTATTGGAATCGAACTATCGCTCGGCGAACCGTCGTCGATACTCCCATGAAGGGCTTCGGTAAATATTTGCCCGCGCACACGATGCGGTGACCTATCTTTAGGTCTCCCGCAATACAAGCTTCTGCAGAGCGCGGGCAGGCCTCTCGTGTGTATCTCGCACAGGCGTGCGGGGAACAGCGCGAATATAGTCCCCCTTTGTCGCCGCCATATTGTTTTTTGGCAGCGCACGGGTTTCGCATTACGTCGTCGTCGCCATTTCGTTTCGCGCCAACAAATTTCCACGTCGTTTGTTTCCGGTGCGTCGCTAGAGACGAGTGTGATATTTCTGTCGGGGCGGTGTGTTGTCGCTATAGAGACGAGTGTGATATTTCTTATTAAGTATAGTAAGTATTATAAGTAGTATAATTAAGTATAGTATTAAGTATAGTAAGTATTATAAGTAGGTTAATAATGTATAGTATTGAGTATAGTAAGTATTATGAGTAGTATAATTAAGTATATAGTAAGTATTATAAGTAGTATAGTTAAGTACAGTATAGTATTAGGAGTATCTAGAGATATTTATCTGTAACGGGATGCACGTTGGCCCCCACCTAACGACGACTCGTTGCTGCACCTCCGCCGCATTTAGCTAAACTTTCCGATTACTGTTTGTGAAACCGCCAGTAGTGTGATGTACGAGGGTGTTGTCAGGAGCGTATGCCTATTATCGACTCCCAGTGATGTTTACCGGTGGAACTATTAATGTCCCGCGGAAATTAACAGAACAGACGGCCGCCAGACGATCTCTGCGACGAGGGAGCGCAGCGGTTAATGTGTATAAGTGAGAGAGGGGCAATGACGTCCTGAGTTGCCTTTTGATACGGAGCAAAAAATTTGTAAGTCTAATAAGATTATCATATGTCGACGCTAGTCGTTCGTCGCTAACTATCCGTCGCTAATATGGCGTCAACCATTTTCGCCTAGGCTTTAGAAACGAACCCAGGGGAGTTACTTTCCGTAGTGGCCATCCAGACCTCCGGTTTAATGATGTTTTCGAGCCGTAAATAGAACCGTTTGTTCTGACAATCGCTCTGCTATCCCCGCTCGAATTTCACTCGTATTTTGTCAGGGGAGGAAATGACAGAAACGCTAGTCTCTAAACGCCGAGCCTAGTTGTATTTTCACTTATTGCTGCCGGCTAATCACTAAACAACAGATGTTACTTCTCGTCTGAACGTATCTGCCGTATGTAACGTGTACTGGTGTCAGTCTCGATGCTACTAACATGTATTTAATCGTGATTGGCGTTTGCAATATATGCCGCTTGAAAACAAGGTTAGTACTGCATGGCAGAATGTGACTCACGTTCTGCGAATATTATTTTCTCCGACAGATGAATTAATATTCTTACGATGCACGCACTGATAATTTGAGGCATATACGAAGCAATGCCCGCATAAGTATTGCTATTTCCAGCGACAACAGATGGATTAATATTCTCACGATGTACGCACTGTTAATTTGAGGTAGATGCGGACACATACCTGCATAAATATTTCTATTTGCATCGCGGATTTTGTTAAATCAGTGCTGATTTTTCTTTGGAAATATCATGAAGTACATGCATATGGTCAATGGCGAGCGCATCTACGAAAACTGCATCGATTAATTTTGTTGGACGTCATGCCTCCTTCCTCTATAATACACGCGACGTGAATAATGTAGTGATGGTTCGTTTTAGCTGAAATCAGAATTGTATTGTTCTCTCAGGGTCGCAGGATAATTTTTGCCATTCCGAATGTTTAACAGAAGGTTACTCGAGCTGTGCCGAACGCTATGTAGGGGAGAGACATCTGCATTAGCCGCTAGAGGCGCACCCGTCGCCATTATTGCAGGGCTCTAACAGACGGAATATAGACGCAATTGCAACTGAATATTGCGATAACGTATTCCAACCGTCTACCCACAAGCAGTGGTCTACGTACATCGTTTAAGCGTTTTACACTTACGGCGTTTAAGTAACACTCAAGCAGGATCAAGGTGAAAATCCGTGGGACCATAACGCCGTGAAGCGAACGCGGGGAATTTCACGTCAGACGAACGGAATCTTCAGACGAACCTCTAATCTGATCATATTATATATATCGATAGTATTATGAATAGTTATATAAATTGATTCCAGTGAGTGGATTCTCTCTTAGTTGCACTTTCTCCGCCGTTTGACGCATATTCGTTTTGTCCCGCTGGGAACATTGTAACACACTTTGTTATACGAGCACGCGACATTCCACCCGTGTATCGGCTTGCTTTCGTAATTTAAATCGAAGCGACTTTTAGCG